GGCTAAAGGCAAAAAATATCCCAAAGTAGATGACACTGCATTTTGAAGCTGTCATCAAGCAGCTCAGCATTCACAAAATGACAGCAAGCATGTAACAAGGGAAGTGTTCATTCCATGTGCACTCCTGAAAGAGCACAAATTCAGAATAAACATGCTCACAGTGTGGTTAGCTTTAATTATTGGTCCAAGTTGGCAGGTGAGAAGGTAGCAATGTTATGTAGAAGGCAACTGATGAATCTGGAAAAAGCAGAAAGAGAACCCAAGCCACTAAAAAAAAAAAAAAAAATGCTCAAATGCTTCAGTAGTACTATTTGTTGGAATTTCATAATATGAACTTTTGATACCATACAAGTAAATGCTCTATTGGAAAAAAATAATATTACTGAAAAGGTCATCAGGAACAAAGGTAATAAAAAGGGAAAACAGAAGAAAACAAACAGAAAACACCACTATCTGGCATATGAAAAGTCAAGCATCACTTATTTCAACAACATCAAACTCTTGGTTTCAAAAACAGCAGATCAAATTCTGCTTTTCTTAGCGTCAACAAGCATTGATTATGCACTGAGCAACATGGACACAACCTGTCAAAGCATTCATTACCTGGACTCAACAAATTAGATAACTTAAATTTGAAGATGTGCTTCACTGTTTCCCAATTAATTAAATATAACTCCATGAAAGTAATTCTATTAGGAGTTACAAGAATAACACTCTTAAAAAAATAAATACTAAATTATGTAATTGTAGACATAAGTGTCTCAAGCTAAACTAGGAAGAAAATCTGTAACACAGGATAAGATCTTACTGATTGTAAGCATTTTGTGGGTGGTTCTCCAATATATTTCTAATAACCTCCTATTCATATGGTTAAAATACATGGACATTTATTAATGCAAACAAACTGTAAACAGAAAATCTGGTGTATATAAATATGTATAAAATTCAGCCCTATGAGAAATTGAGACTACATCTGCATGGCTTTAATTCAGGATCTTCTAACACGGCTCACTGATATTATAGTGTTATGGGATTGCACGGACATTTCAGAAGACAGAGCAGCATGTTATACAACATGCACACAAACAGATCTACTTCTGTTTATATTAATAGAAGTATACATGCTAGCAGACAGCAAGACACATACATGCCACTCTGCTTTTCATTCAAAGAAATCCACACATTTGCTCTATAACAGATTTGGGAGAGGCAGTTTTTCCAGTTCCACCAGCCCCTCTACTTGTGTTGTCTTTTTATACATGAACGATGTAGAAGATGAAATAATTTCCCAAGAAACTCAAGAAGAAAAAAGCCATAATACTTCAGACATACAAAAGAAAGGGAAGAGGACCTTTATCTTGTTAGCCAAATCTCAAATCATCAGAAGGCCTACCTCTACGGAAGAGCAGGCGACGGCTTCTGTGAAGGTTATCAGTGACAGAGAAATAGAGAAGGAGAGAAAACTTTTTTCTAGTTTCCAGATTTTTTTTTTCTGTGATCAGTTTCCAAATCAATATGGAAGAATAGCAAGTAAAGACTCATAACACTCAACACATCATTTATTAGATTTGCACACTAGAAATGCACAGCTTAAGTTAAAATTTCTTTTTTCCTTCTAATCTATGTCAAAATTGAAATAAAAAACTTACATGGTTATTTAGCAGGTTCACATTCAACATATTCAAAATTGTCATCTTGCAGTTTCTAAAAAAGCTCCAGTCTATCTTTTTGAATTGCCAGTCAGGAAACACCATGCTGTTCTGACAAACTGGGCAAAAGAGCCTCTGATTGTACTTCAGAACAACCACTGTTCATAAAGGAAACATTTTAAATGAGACTATTTTAGATGTCAAAGGGGAGTTCGAATGGGATACAAAACACCTCCCGTGACATGTTTAAAATCAGTCTTGTCAATAAAAAGGGTTTTCCTTTTCCATGATCTTCACCCTCATTTTTTTCCACTAGGTCTATTTTTTTTTAAATGTATTCAAACCATATATTAATAAATATTTGGGGGAGACAGTCTCTTTCATGCAGCAGGTAATGAACTCTAAGTCTAAAAAAATCTAACAGATTCTCTTCTCTGGCTACAGTTAAGTCAAATAAGAAGTTATCCCCCCTATCTCATATCGTGCATAACTACCCCCATGCAGATCATAATGTCTCTTTAAATCTAAGTATAGTGGCACAGCTGTTTCCCAAAATAATCTAAGGAAAAAAAATATTATTAAATTCTTTTAGACTAACCAGGATCATTTTTAGTAAACTCGATTACAGAGCAATTACATATGCAGTCTTATTACCAGATCAGGAGGATGGTAAGTCATAAAGAGGGGAAAACGGCAAGCAGCTGAAAGAGAATTCTCACTCTGTCTCTGACAGAGTTTGGACATTGTATCTGACTGTAGCCAAAGCCATCTTTTTTGCCAGAAAACATCATCCCAAATCAAAATACAATTCAGAACTACATGCTGGCACATTTTAATGGCCCATTAAAGACAACACAACAGCCTGACAGGAGTCCATCCCATATTCATGTTCTGCCAAGATCAGCATGGGAACACAAGGATCAGGGTACGCAGTTGGGTCGAGGCACCATAGACATTACAAAGTCCATACATTGCTATTATTTTCTGGGCAGCTGTGTTTGACTCTTCTACATTGCTTATGTAAAAGAAAAACTTCAGAAGACATGAACCAGGCCTTGTATTTAATTTTTGTATTTATGTGGGTGAGAAGAAACACTAAAGGCTATAAATAACATTTTCCAATATTTATCTTTCCTCCTTTGAAGACTTCTCCAGGGACTTTAATTAGACTCTCCCTTAGCACCATTAGGCAATTAAAATAATAATAAATCAAACACAATCCTCCTCACCCAGTGGGTATTTTCCCCAAGCTCTCTCAGTTTCCTGTCTTTTTCACTTTATGTAAATAGAAAACCATCACACTGTTTAAATTCAGCTGTTTGATTGGTATTCCGAGTTTGCAAAGTAGTGAGCCACTGTAACACCATGCTGATATCAAAAGAAATTTCTGCATCACACAACTGTCTAATTCCAGCAGCCAGCAATCCCTTCTGACATTTATTTGAATCATCTTCTTATGAGAATACTGTAGAGGTGCCAAAGCTTTGGGAACAATTGCCTTTCTCAGTCCCACTATCTATAAATACTTAATCAAGAAGGAATACTTTACCACAAACTGTTCATGCTGAGACTTAATGTAGCAGCACAGTGATTTGGCTTCATTAACTAAATTCTAAATATTGATCTGTGGGAGAAAATAAAGAAAATTACAGATTTATCTATAGTTACAGTACTGACAGTTTAGACTGGAAATTGGAAAGGAACTTATTACAAGATATTTAAAAAAATTGTAATTTACAGAGAAAAGAGTGTAACTTAACCCCCTAATTGGCTGCTTGTAGTAGTAATACAGGTCAAATAAAAACCTGGATCAGAAACTTGCCAACCTCCTGAAACTAAGATTACTTTTCAAAATTGGTCTACCTCTACATTAGGCTTTTTCATTATAAACAGCACAGACCTGTATACCCCTGCACAAAGCCAAAAACCTTCTAGACATTACAAAATATTTGTATCACAAAAATAGTTTCATTAACCCTCTCACATCACTCTTGACTTGCCTTACTTCAACAAATGAACACATCCAAATTTGCCTAGTGAGTCACACATTTCTATTTCTAAACAAAAGAATGTGAACTTGCAATAAGACGCTGGATGCACCTGGAAAGGGAAAAAGAATTCTGCTAAATGCAACAACCAAACCCAGACATTATGAGGGTCTTTTTCTCATAATAAATTCCACCATACAGTGGTTGCAGTTCCCAGTCAAAAGTTGTACCTTTATTTCCCAAAGAGGAAAATAGTAGGCAATGCTAACTTTTGGGGAGTTATTTCAAAAAAGCCTCAGGTACTTATCAAACAATCTTAAAATGTGTGGTTAATATTATTTTTAAAATAAAATATTGTTTGCATTGAAGGAACGATTTTTATTATTCCATGGATGCACTAAACACTAATGATCCTATTGAAATTATCTGCAGCATATGGTATCATGCCATTTGGGTAAAGGTTTCATAATTTGAGAATGAAAAACACTGT